GCCAATTTTCGACAATAAATTATCTATGCCATAATTCTTTTGAGCAGTGTATATATGTGTGTATATATGCGCGTAGTTTTAATAAATTTTATGAAAAAAAAGAAAGGAAGAGGTAAAGATACTTGAAATGTATCTGGAAGAGAAAAGATGAGAAGAAAAATAAATTATTTCATCATGAAATCGTCATTTCGTGATGAAGTCATCGTTATTTCATCTTAGATAGATCTATTTAAGAAAGTTTCATAGTTCCGCATTGGATGCATGTTGCACGCAATACAAACAAAAATTTCGGCACAAATTGCATTAGTAAAACTCATTTTGAACGACCTAAATTCGCGACAAAACTGATCTAATAGTATTCTATTTATAGTTTCATTTACAATTATTAACATGTAGACTGCCATGAAGGTCATCAGATAAATAGTGCTGTAATATTGCTGTAATATATATTCCATAGATGTATACATATACCGATATATAATGTGTAAACATTCATAAACTTTCAAACGTTTTTTAGCATCCCAAGAGTTTTCCACAAGTCGTCCAAAGCAAACTAAACGAAATGCAAGAGAACTAAGTCGTTTACCGTCGTTTCCGTAAAACAAAACAAGAAGCAAAAAACGATCAATACAATAACGAAAATATGAAACACATATAAATACATACATTCTCTCTCTCTCTCTCTCTCTCTCTCTCTCTCTCTCTCTCTCTCTCTCTCTCTCTCTCTCCCTCTCTCTCTCTCTCTTCTCTCCCTCCGCGAATCTTGAATCTCAATTCTTGAATCAAGATACAGTTAAAACAGTATTATATCACAGGTCGCAACTAGAAGCGATCAATAAGGCTGTATTTTTCATTACGCTATTTCGAAAGTTGCGAAGAATAACGACGATAAGCAAAGTCGCTATTGAAAGAAACTATCAACCAGAAATGTCAGTCTTTCATATTAATACAACAAATGTTCAATGTATCCCTTCTTGTCTTTTATACATGTATCATCTGATTTTTTTTCTTTTCTCGTACGTTCCTATATTTATTTTTGCAGCGTTTCTTACTGCAAATTAATAACCTTTCCCAGCAAGAATAAAATTATTATATAGTATAAATTTTAATTAAATTTATATTATTAATAAACTAATAATAGAAATTATTTTATATTATAAATAAAGTTATAAAACGTGATTACTCCATGATGCGATCAAACGTACCAATTCGTCGGAAAATTGTTGAGGAATAAAATAAGAAATAAAATGAAAGTCTTATCGCACACTAATGTTATCAAAGACCGATTTCACGCCGATTGTCCCTTTCAACGCCGCTTGAAAATCGACAAGTAGAATCTTACAGTGTGTAATAATGTATGTATTAAATAATAAAGTTTCCCGAATAAAATGCGAAATGCCCGCGTTATTACATATCGATAATCAAAGAGATCTCACAGGAAAACGGTATTTTACAATGATACTCGGATACTTGTGTTCACGCAAGAAGTAAATACTTTTTCGATACTTGTATTGCGCTATTGTAAGATTTTTAATATTTAGCAGTAACATTTTATTTATTTATTTTTTTATAAAAGAGGAAGTAAAACAATGAGAAAGAGAATGCACTTTAATTCTTGAGTACTTGTTAAATCAATTTGACCAAACAATTTCTTCAGTTTTGCTCTTAGTCATATGTTTTATATAAAAAAGAAATGTTTCTCGCTTGAAGAAAATCTTGCTATGGTGAATGATATATAATTTCATTTATAATCTAATAAACATACAGGGTCTTTCAGACCACCCAGGTCACCCGATGTTTTCGTAAACGCGACATTTTAGAGAAAAATGTTTCAGACAAAAGTTGTAGGGCTTCAAATAATCTATTTACTGATGCTATAAATTTGACTTTGGGATAACGTTGAAAAGCCCAGTCAAGATCAACATAAAAATCTTAAATAGAAGCTTCAATTTTTTATTATATCATCTTTTTCCACCAATTAATTTGAACAACTTTTGTCTGAAACATTTTTTATTTGCCTAATATTTTTTGAGATATTTAAGGATAACTTGGTAACTTTTTCAATATTCAATAACTTACGATATCTCGCTAACTGTTTGTCGGGATAAAAAAATGATACTAGACTTTTCTATTCTATTTGGTCTCAAGAATATATTGTTACAATAGCGCCCTGACTTTTGTTAATTTGATGATTTTAGAATTTCGAAAGATCGATAAATTAGCAAAAAATAGAGCATTATTGTACCAATATATTCTTGAGACCAAGTAGAATAGAAAAGTCTAATACCATTTTTTATCTCGACAAACAGTTAGCGAGTTATCATAAGTTAAATATTAAAAAAGTTACCAAGCTATCCTTAAATATCTCAAAAACATTAGGCAAATAAAAAAATGTTTCAGACAAAAGTTGTTCAAATTAATTGATGGAAAAATCTTTGAAGCCCTACAACTTTTGTCTGAAACATTTTTCTTTAAAATGTCGCGTTTACGAAAAAATCGGGTGACCCGGGTGGTCTAAAACACCCTGCATAATCTATAGCTTTAAATCACAAACATATGCGCGCGCACAAAATTTATCTATATACTTAATTAAATTTATCTATATTCTATAAGGAATAATCTTGACAATTTCCAGTTTTTACTGTGACATCTTTCCTTGCCTCTGAATCTTTTCATTTTAAAGATCTAATATAAAATCTACCTAGTATATTATTCGAAATTTAATTTAACATTTTCTTCTCATTTTTCATATTGTTTATAAATCCTTAATAATTCTAAGTAAATTTCATCAAGCAAACAATTTTACTTTCATATAACAAAGAATAGAAAGATCTTTGAAAAGATTTTTGAAAAGATCTCTTTAAACCTCAAGATACCGCATTTAAGCAAAAACAAGAGTGCAATCTTTCTTATTTACAACCATCTACTCTTAAGTCTTTCAATATTCAAAATTTAATGTTCAATCCATTTGATATTTAATTAAATATTAGTTTAATATTATTTATTTAATATCTAATCAAGAAATATTGATAACAATATTCAATTTCAAAGTACAATTCCAGTGTAACAATGATTAATCTTAAAACTCTTAATTTTCTGTTGCATCTTAGATTGTAATGAAGATTAGAGCCGGTTGTTCCAACCTCTTGGTAAGTTAACTGATAGTTAAATCATATGTTTGTTTTTGTTTTTCCTTCATGTTAGACAAAGACATACATATGATTTAACTATCAGTTAACTTATCAAGGAATTGGAACAACCTGCCCTTAGAAATGGCACGCAGAAATTTCAAATATACATTTTCTTATCTTGGACATCACTAATCAAGAATTCCACAGCCACAAACAATACAGCTTCAAACGAAAAAAATATGTCCATAAGAAAATACTTGTAATTGATTGAACAAATTCATAAAATTTTCTTTTTGTTTCAATAAGTTAGCCGTAAATGACTAATAGTTAGCAATAAAATAACAATAAGATTAACATGTGTTCAATATATACAATTAAAATTAACATGTGACTTATTTATTAACTATAATTTCATTTTTATTTTCTTACTTTTATCTTATGACCTTTCATTAATTATTGGAGCAAAAGGAAAGTGTTCGTTTAAATCTGTTCCATAGATGTGTTGTAAATATATCTTTTTATTCCAACATATTTCACAAGAATTTTGAGCATATATTTTTTTTCGCTTCTGATATCAATATAAAGTGACTACAGCAAGGAAACAAGTCTTGAAGACAATTCTCACGTTTATGAAAGTAACAATCAATATCTTTACTTTATATTATATGGTCGGTATATAAATTTTATATAGAGTTATATTCATATCTCCATTAGACAAGTACTCGTTAATCAAAGTCTATACTCTTCGAGTTTCTCCCTCTCTCTGTCTTTCTGCCTCTCTGCCTCTCTCTCTCTCTCTCTCTCTCTCTCTCTCTCTCTCTCTCTCTCTCTCCCCCTCCCTCCCTCCCTCCCTCCCCCCTCTCTCCCCCCTGTCTCTCTCTCTCTCTCTCTCTCTCTCTCTCTCTCTCTCTCTCTCTCTCTCTCTCTCTCTCTCTCTCTCTCTCTCTCTGTATCTTTTTCAATCACTTTGAAGAAAGGTGAAATACCGGTATCTCGGCATGCGATGACGTCGAGTGCAAAGTCGTGGAAATGACAACTGTACGTGGCAGATAAAATAAAAGCTAAACGCGCGAAACGGAGCAAGGTGTAGTCTCCTCGCCTACGTGGAGGACGAATGTATGCCGAAAGCTTGGAAGATCTTGTTTTTGAAACCGGGTTTGTTAGGACTAGCACTGTCGTGGTGGCCGCCGGCCGACTGTCCCTCATTGTGCAGCAGCGCCCTTTGCACCAACGGCAGCGTGCTGTTCGTCTGGCGTTCGTTCGAGTTGCACGTGTGCGTGCGCGTTCGTGCGTGACGTTGACGTGGATTCGGTCAGAATTCGGGGGAGGGCCAGGATGAACGTTCAACGAAAAAAGAACAAAAAGAAAGAAGAAAAGGAGATAGTAGACTTAGGCTTTCTTTCTCTCTCTTTCTAGTTCGTTCGCGAGTGTTCGTTCACGTCTATATGAAGCATGCACGATAGATAATAGCAGTAATAGTAGTAGTAGCAGTAGTAATAATCGTAGTTGTAAGTAATAGTGGTAGTGTAATAATAGTGATGATAATAGTTTGGTAATGATAACGTAATTAGTCGTGATAATGGTGGAGGTGATAATGGCGGCGACAGCAGCGGTGGTGATGGTGGTGATGATAGTGATAGTGGCAGTAGTAGTAATGGTAGTAATAGTAATAGTAGTGGCAGTAGTAATAGTAGTGATGGTAGTATATAATATTGATAATGATTGTAGTCGGGATGATGATGATGATGATAGTGGTGGTGGTAGAGGTGATAATAGTAGCAGTAGCGGTAGTGGTAGCAATAGTAAAAGTAATAGTGCAAGTAGATACTAATGAGTAATAGACGACGATAAGGATATCAAGATACTCACCTCATCGTGGCTCTGTTCATGCTCGCTGTTCACCAAACTGGAACGGGAGCCGCGTCTTGTAGAGCCTTTCTCGTCACCCAACAACTGCGCCACTCGAGCCTTATTCACCAGCTCCAATGCCTACAGGATAATAGAATATGAGACGAACAAATAAGCGAGGAACATAATTGTGTAAAGGTTTTGAAATTTAGCTTTCAGATAGAACTTATTCGCATAGTTTACAGAGACATCATGGAAATAAGAAACGACAGGACAATGTCCATAAACTTAGAGATTATGATTTCGTGTGTGCAAGAATTTCCGAGAGCGAGATTCAATTTTGTCGTTTTAATTAAATGCAAGCGGCATTCGCTAAGATTCGTGTCGAGTGTGTTTTACTCACTTGCTGCACATGCTGCGTGGAAGAAATATAAATTCGCATTAGTCAGTGATGTTAGTAGGCCGAATATTAGCTATTAATAACTGCGTTTAATAATATACAATTAATAATCGCACAAATACCTCTCTACGTGATCTCATAGCACAGTCTTCCAAAGTCTCCGCGGCCTCGTATTTGCCCTGCCTACGATACAACGCGCCCAGATTTTTCAAAGTAGTCGTGACAGTCGGCGAATCCACTTTCGCTGCCTTGTGCCAACCACCATATTCACCATATGGTGTGTTCTCTTTATTCCTGTGCTTATTTTCCTCTCTCTCCTCGGCAACCTGAAAAATGTCAACACACATATATTAATATATAATTTATCTTTCTATCCTATCTTTTCTCATAATTTAAAATAAAACCCATTTAATGCTACAATAACTTTATAGTGCTTAGAAGATTATAATTAGTTTATACAACATTTCGAAACATTTGCAGCGTTAAATAAATTTTATCTTAATTCTTAATGATATTCATTTTACAGCTGCTTATTGATTATTCGAACGAAGGAAAAATTTCCGATATATATTAAGTCATTAAGTACGAAATGTCCGATTTCGAATCAAAAGTTTGATTTATTATATCTCAAACTAGAAATAGTACAATTAACCAAAGTATACACCTAAACTATTGACACAGTTCTGCCATCTTAACAGTAGCTTATCTATGCCAGCAGTAAAGAAGCCTGAAAAGCAGGTGACAAAATCGCGAAAGGCATTTTTCGCAGTTTGTTGAAAATTGAATATTTTTTCTTGTAAGAAATGATCTAGTGCCTAAAAGAAGTAGTAGTCAGTTGGTACAAGATCTGGTGAATACGGTGGGTGACAGAGAGTTTCCAAATCTAACTAGTTTGAGTAACGTAGTTTGTGCGACATGTGGTCGAGCGTTGTCTTGCAAGAGGATTAGCCTGTCTCTATGGACCAATCTTAGCTGTTTAATCGCAAGTATCCTCATCATTTCGTCCAGTTGATTACAGTAGACATCCGCTGTAATTGATTGACCAGGTTTCATGAAGCTATAATGGATAATATAATGCCAACGCTGAACCACTAAACAGACACCATTAGTTTTCTTTTGTGAATATTCGGTTTCGGATTGTGTTTCGGCACTTCATTTATATCCAACTATTATGCCGAACGCTTGCGATTGTCGAAAAGAATCCATTTTTCATCACACATAACAATACGATATAAAAATAGTTCGCCTTTATGTCGTGATAGTAAAGAAAGGCAAGAGACCACTTTTCTTCTGACGCTTGTTTAATTCATGCGGAATCCATCTATTCCATTTCTTTACCTTGCCGATTTGATTCAAATGGTCCAATATTGTTGCAATAGTAACATTAAACCTTGCTGCTAATTCACATATAGTTTGAGATGTATCTCCATTACAGCTTTCAGCTCATCATTATTCATCTTGGTTTCGGGTCGCCCATGCGGCTCATTTTCAAGATTAAAATCGCCAGAACGAAACTTCACAAATCATCGACGTACTATGCATTCATTAGCCACATCTTTACCGAACTCGTTGATACTTCGAGTTGTCTGTGCTATATTGGTTCCACAACAGAACTCATATTCGAAAATAACATGTTTTTGACTTATCCACGATTACACAAAAATTTCTGTAATAAAGACAACTTGAAAGATAATCACAAACCAAAACATGCGTTTCAAAGAATGATGATGTATCTTCATAACAAAAAAACTAAGAACTATAAAAAGTGAAATTGAATTGTTGAGTGAAAAAATTGAAAAATTTTTGAAACGCTTTCCGCTCTCCTTCAATTTTGTAAAATTTGAATATATAGTTGCAAAGAGTATGAAATACACTACAACTTTCATATAAACCATTTGTACATATGCCTCATATTTTAAAAGATATATGCTAAAAATGAAAATGGTTTCTTTTCGAAGGGTGGTTTCACCTCCTCAGACTGGATTTCCGCACGAACATAGAATAATTTTGCATTACGAATGATATACTTTATTTCCACACAAAGTTTCATAATTTTTTGAATTTCCGGGTTCCCTACCTTTCCTTGTTCGTATTTAAGGAAATCGAACATTTCATATTTAACGATATGATATTCCTAATATTAGGAAATGAAATACATATGTACTTGTCTCAAAATAGCTAGCAACTGCATTTGGAAAGAATAAGATGTAATACACAAAAAAAAAATAAATAAACATTCTTCTTTTATCTTTCAGCAACTCACGGAGGTTCATTTTATAGATTCTTATGAGTATTATGAGAAATTGTGGTTACATTTAAATATGAGCGTTTATATAGAGCGGTATTTTTGAGTACCATCAGGATATAAAAGGTTCAGACGTTTTTTATTAAGTGAACAAAAAAGTTCTGGACTTTTAGATTTCATATAGTCACAAAGCAAAACATACGTTTGAATAATGATGTACCTTCATAACAAAAAAACCAAGAACTGTAAAAGTAAAGTGTCAGAAATATCGACTGTCGACTTAGTACTTAAGGAAATCGAACATTTCATATTTAACGACCTAATAAATGTGTTTAATCGATCACAAGAGTTGAAATAAACATATATGATCATTTTGTGATCGATCACGAGAGTTGAAATAAACATATATGATTATTTTATGATCATACACAGTCTGTCCCAGATACGATGAGACTGGTTCCATCAAAGTTCTTAGCGCAGCGATATCTATGAGTGAATGACAGTAGGTGAATGTTCTATCCTCCATCTACTTAACTTCAAAATTTGAGCGAATTCGGTTTATATTTCACTGTGGTTTGACATTTTATGTAAAGTCACTTTGTGTACGTCGGTCGAAAAATCAACTTTTAAATTGGGTAAAAGTGGTGCAGAAACGTCCGAAACGCTAAAAAATGTGTACGGAGATGAATGCATGTCCCGTGCACAGGTTTTCCGTTGGTTTGGCCGATTCCGTGACGGTCGTGAGGATCTTGCAGACGATGACCGAGCACCGCCGTCAAAAACCACTCGCAATGAAGAAAACATCGAGAAAGTCAAAGAAATTCTTCGAAGCGACCGCTGTGTGTCTGCCCAGATATTATCTGGGAGTTCTACAATGATTATGGGCCAGAATTCGACGAGTTCGACCGGAATATCGAGAGCCAGGCAGTTGGTTTTTGTTGCACGATAATGCACCATCGCACAAAGCCATCATGGTACGTGAATTCTTGACCAAAAAAGGCATCATTGTTATCGATCATCCACCGTATTCACCTGATTTGGCTCCGTGCGACTTCTGGCTATTTCCCAAACTGAAATTGGCGATGAAAGGAAATCGTTTCGATACCATCCCGGTCATCCAAAAGACTTCGACTGCCATACTAAAGGCCATTCCAGCCGATGATATAAAAAATGTTTCGAAAAATTTGTTGAACGTTTCCAGCGCTGTATTGACTCAGAAGGAGACTATTTTGAGTAAACAAGAATAAAAATAAAAATAATAAACGCTTTGTATTTTTTTTTAGACCAGTCTCATTGGATCTGGGACAGACTGTGTATATGTTTATTTCAACATATTTGGCAAACATACTTTGCGCTAGGCAGATATTGTAATTTCCCAGCTTTAAATGTTGTTGCAACTTTCTATTAGCAAAGGTTACATCAATAAAATAGAGGCAATAATCATACAAATATAATTTAATATAGAGTTGCAAGTAAAAACTTATAAATTTGAGAAAAATTTTATATCATATTTGTGTAATAAAAAAAAATAAATTTTGAACTGAATATTCGCTTCATATATACAGAGATGATAAGGAGTTAACGATCAGCGTTAAAATTTCATAAATCAACTACGATATGGTGCTAAGGAGTCAATCTTATACCTGCCAAATCGGCTTGTTGTCGCCGTCGATAGCACCGAATTCCCTCTCGTGCGCCCGCGTGAGCACCTGTTTGTATAGCACCTCGGCGTCTTTGTATTTGCCTTGCTTGAGGAAACACGAGGCTAGGTTGTTCTTCGTCTTGGCGACGTTGGGATCGTCTGGACCCAGCTTGGCCTCGTAGATCTCGAGTGCACGTTGATAATAGCGTTCGACTTCCTCGTATTTGCCCTGGTTCTGACACAACAGCGCCAAATTATTCAACTGTTTTGCGACGTCAGGGTGATCACGACCCAATACTTTCTCGCGTATCTCTAGCGCACGCTTGCACAATGGCTCCGCTTCCTTGTATTTGCCTCGTTTCCCGTACAGCACTGCCAAATTATTGAGAGTCGCCGCCACAGCGGGGTGATTTTCACCTAAAGTCTTCTCGCGAATAGCCAGGGCGTCGTTCAGTAAATTCGCCGCTTCCTTATACTTGTTCTGGTCGCGGTATACAAGTGCGAGAATGTTCAACATGGTAGCCACGTCCGGGTGGTCATGACCGGAGGTCTTCTCTAAGTCCTCCAACGCTTGCTTGCACAACGGTACTGCGACTTCATAGCGACCTTGACTCGCATATTGAATCACTAGGTTATGCAAGGTGCGCAGTCGCGCCGGTATTTCGTAACCAGCGTTCACTTGCTGCGCAAATTGTGATGGTGGAGTCGGAGATATGGCTGCAAATTAATAGAAAGAGCAATAAAAGGATTTTATTAGCCACCAATAAACCATACACACTGGCAATTTCCACGTAACATAGTTATTTCTTGAAAAAACAAAATGTTACATACATTTACTATTGCGATCATCCGCATCATCATCAGGAAAAAGGTCCACAACGGGGTCATCTTTCGGCCTATCCTTAGCATTTTCATCCTCTGTCGACGGATCGGGATCGTATTGTCGCATACTGGCCATAAAGTCTAAATGCCTCTTCTCTTCTTCTAGTTGAGCGACCTACAAAATACAGTTGCATGAAATTCTCGAAAATTTAAAATGAAACAGGGACATTACGATAAAATGTATCAATATACATATCCCAAAAATAACTGGAATGGCTCTATTTTAAAGAAATTAATGGCGCCTTCTGTTGGTGGGAGATTGAGTTGGGAAGTGTCAACCTTCCTTAATAACCTGTAAAAATTTCATGACATTTCGTTTACTAGAAGCTAAGATATGATGCATTTAAATGACAGTAGTTTGATGCCTTGATCGAATTGGCGATTGTTGCACGATAATGCACCTTCCCATTGTTTGTCAATTGTCACTGAATTTTTTGACCAAAAATCAAATTGAATGTAGTGAATACGAGGGATGTTGAAGCAATAACATTTGATTTTTGGTTAAAGAATCAGTGACAATTGACGAACAATGAGAAGATGCATTATCGTGCAACAATTGTCAATTCGACCGAGGTCAAACTACTCACTTAAATGCATCGTATCTTGGCTTCTAGTGATTGAAATGTCATGAAATTTTTACAGGTTATTAAAGAAGGTTGACACTTCCTAACTCAATCTTCCAGTAACAGAAGGCGCCACTAATTTCGTTAAAATAGAGCCATTCCGATTATTTCTGGAACAAAGAATGTATTAATTCGTCCAATAATATATAAAACGCGCAAACTAAAAGGTTATAATAAAAATAATTCTTTATGCGTATTATTTCTATATATATTACTAATTATAATAATATAAATTTTCTTATTTAATAATTTACAACCTATGAAAAAATCAAACAATTTATCTTGTTTTCTAATTAACATAACGAAACTAACCTGATAATGATAGCTAAATCATAAATATCTTTCGTAAACCATTTTTTAATTTATTTATATACAATATTTTTCTAAGATTGCAGCAAACGTCGACAAACAACATCGTTTTTCATAATCAATTTCATTAAAACATCTGCTTCGTGAGTTTTGTTTAGTTTATTTATCGTTTAGTTATCAATAAGATATCTATCAAACTTCGCTTACATTCAACATCTGTACAAGAAAAAACATCTTGTTTATTTCACATCTCATTGACGTAATATCGATATTAAGCAAATTATTTTCAGTCTCGCGAAGTGTGTAAGCTAATATCGATCTTAGCACGTTTATTTATTATCACCGTGTTTCAACTATACGTAAAAAATTAGCACCTGTCATTAATTTGTGACGTAGCAGTATAAATAGATGTACCATATACATTGAAATGGAACAAAAATACCTGTCGACTATAATTGATTAACTGCTCGAAATTCTCTTAACATCGCGTTACTAGGTTACGTCCAATTAGGTTAATAAAATCTTTTTAATAATATATATTATTAATTTATCATTTATAGATTACATAAGAAAAACAAGGGGGAATAATATGTCAAAACGATAAACTGTTACTATGATAGCTTTATCTTAACATCTATAAATGGCCGCGTTCAGTAGAACAAAGTGATCAGTGAGCACTTAGTGATTATTGTCTGTGATTGGAGCATTCTTTTAGATTCTTCATAGATCCAGAAGTATTTACCAATCAGGAGCGAAAATCACTAAGCGCTCACTGATCATTTTGTTCTGCTGAACGCAGCCAATGTACATGACTGAAAGATATTAACAATAAGCAAAATATACAGGGTGATCCGAAATTCCCGCATTCGGAGTACAAGACATGATACTTTATGCTAAAATAAACAACTTTTTCTTTTAGCATAATTGCGTCCGACAAGTAGTTTTTGCAGGAGAACGTGTTAAAGTTAATGAATAAGCGCTCTTGTCTATGTAGCGCTCAGGACCGGCGCGCGTGTACCTAGTCAGAGACTAAGGGCCATAGCACAGACTTCTGCATAACGCTTAATATATAACGCATAAGAGAATCAACCAATCAGAGTTCTTCATTTCTATCCTGAAGAAGGATGTGCTCTGGCCCTAATATTCATAAATAATGTCTTTTAAGACGCTTATGTGGCTCTGTTGTGATTAGTTTACGACATCTTAAAACTGTACTTAAGATAATCTTAAATAATAAGAATTAACTATGAACAATATCGGGATTTGACCTTCTTCCATATTGTATAGCTTAAATAATGAAAAGTTAATAAAATAAATACTGCCTTTATTTCTTATGTAATAAATGAATCAAAAGTTGTCTGATTGCACAATATCATCTGAAAATAAAAACTATAAATATATAAATAATAATATGCTTTGCGAGTTCTATGTACATGGAATATAAAATGTCTATCTTCATATATCTATCGACTTTCGTCAGAATAACGTCACTAACAATGTCAATCCTGGCTTTCATTTTAAAATTATTTATGATTATTTTACAAAATTTTTTTTTAAATAACCATTTTTTATGATATTTATTTTGCGATTTTTTTAGTTATATAGTCACCATATACACTTATATAGGGTATCTCATTTAACTCGAAACATCAAAATAACTCGAAAACAAAGAAAAAAAACAAAAATCACTGAAACACGTGTCGAACGAATTCTGAGGACGAGTAAAATGGCATGATTCCTTTTTTTATTTGGTGGATATCCTCAAGGTGATTTTAAGGTTAACTTTGTGATTTCAAATGAAAATCTATATTTTTTATGACAGAAGCATATTCTACGTAAAAAAAAAAACAATTAACTCTTGTCCGAAAAATTTTGTTATTTGATCATTACTTTCGGAGATATCGTACGAAGTAATTCCAATTTTTATTCGAAACAAATAAAATAAACGTATCACAATAAAATGATGGTCTTCCATTTCCAAACATTTTGATCTGACCAATAATGCATATTATGCCGATTAACTTTTCTATTATTGGTAAAAGTAAATTCATCAGAAAATCACGATCATATGAAAATCTCATGTTTACAAGTATTCCGTACCTCGTGTTTATACTGAACAAAAGAAGCGCAATCGCACCGCTGAGATGTTTTGATTTCGGTTTTATTTTCTGATGAATCTACTTTTACCAATAATGGAGAAGTTAATCGGCATAATATGCATTATTGGTCAGATCAAAATCCGAGATGGCTTCGCGAAGTAGAACATCAACGTCCATGGTCTGTCAATGTTTGGTATGGAATCATTGACGATAAAATAATTGGTCCTTCTTTCATCAATGGTACGCTGAATGGAATAAAATATGAAAACTTCTTGGATGTAGAATGACCCGTGCTACTCGAAGAAATAAGCCTAGCAGATAGAAGAAATATGTGGTTTCAGCAAGACGGATGCCCAGCTCGCGTTATGCATGCCAAATAATGAATCAGAAATATCTTGGTCGCTAGATAAGTCGGGGAGGTCCATCCAATTAACTGGCAAGGTCGCCTGATTTAACACCATTAAATTTTTATTTATGGGGCCACCTTAAAGAAAAAGTTTATCACGATCGACCAACCACACCAGAAAACATGAAAGAGCGAATCCGAAATGCTTGTCGCGATATCCGTCCAGAGACTTTATTATCAGTGCATCGATCTTTTATTAATCGCATTAACAAATGTTTGGAAATGGAAGGCCATCATTTTGAGCATTTATTGTAATACGTTTATGTTATTCGTTTTGAATAAAAATCGGAATTACTTCGTACGATATCTTCGAAAGTAATGATCAAATAAAAAAATGTTTCGGACAAAAGTTAATTGTTTTCTTACGTAGAATATGCTTCCGTCATAAAAATATAGGTTTTCACTTGAAATAACAAAGTTGACCTTAAAATTACCTTAAGGATATCCACCAAATGAAAAAGGAATCATGCCATTTTACTCGTCCTCGGAATTCGTTCGACACATGTTTCAGCGATTTTTTGTTTTTCTTCTTTGTTTTCGAATTATTTCGGTGTCTCAAGTTAAATAGGACATCCTGTATACACAGACTGCTTTTTTGTGAGAGATTTGAAAATATAAAAAACAACTATATTCCTTTTCCATTGCTATCTTCGTCTAAAGCCTGCAGCAAACGACGCAGTTTCTCGTGTTAAATTACATGCAAGCTAGCATACTAGCTACAAAGCTCGAAATTTTTTATGTTGTGTGTTATCATGCATGCTAACATGCTAGTTTTTAAAGGATAGGATATATAGTTTTATAAAATAGATGCTATTTTCTTTGCATGATTTTAAGCTGAGTCAGCGTGTACAAGTAGGATTCGTCCTTATATGCATCAATTAGCACTTCTACCGTTTGTTTTGTTTACCCTATTGCCATCACAATATATTTTTTCCTTCTCCATCACAAAATTAAAAAATTACTTTAATTAAAATAATTTTATATTTCAAATATTAATTTTATATTTCGCAAATATTTTACATTTCAAATTAGAAGAAAATTAACAGATAAAGAAATAATCTATGCCATGTTTTTAACTTATCTGTTAACTTTATTTATGCTATTTCTTTAACTTATCTGTTAATTTTCTTTTTCTTTTAATTTGCTGCAAAGTTATTTCGCATACTTCGTTTTCATTTATTAGTTTTCATTTATTCCTTTATTGCTAAATTATATACTTATTTCATTTGAAAGATATGACTTATTTTAAAGGTAAAGTACAATCTATTAAGCTGGCAAGAAAGTTATGTCGTTTTTTCTTCTATGTGAAAAGCGATTTTTTCATACAAAGCAAAAACTTTATTCTGTAATACATTCCCAGATAGCACCGGACATCCAATGGATGTACTTTTCACGTCCAATTTATGTCCGTATGTCCGATTTACGTCCGTGGACATAAATTGGACGTAACAAGGATGTCCTTATTGAACATCGGACCTGTAGGACGTCCATCGGACGTCCTATGTCCGAAGTTATGACAAACGTACGTCCTATGGACATCTTTTGTAAAAAAAATGGACATATAACAGACGTCCAATGGACATCCGTGTGCTGTCTGGGTTGTTTAATTCAATGACTTTTTGCTATCTGTTTAGTATCTTCATGATTCCGGCCTCGTAGAACTTCTAGTTCTTATCGG